TTTTCTGCCAACATTAAATATCTAAACTGTCGGAGATTTCCACTCACTTACACATGTAGTCACAAACAAATATTTACTAAGCATTCCCTACATTCCCAGTACTGTCCTAAGTGCTTGGGAACCATCAATGAACAAGGCAGACAGGATCACTGCTCCTGTGGGGTTTTATTTCATTTTGGTTTAATTGGATGGGGAAAAGAGGAAAGACTGACAATAATCAATAAAAAGAATAAATAAGTCAATTATAGAGTATGTTAGAAGGTGTTAAGTGCTAAGGGGGGAAAAAAAAAGATCAGAGCAGGATAGACCAGTTGAAGAATGCCCTGGGAATGGGAGGCCAGATTGCCATTTTAAAAAGAAGGGTCAGGGAGCCTCTTTGAAGGTGAGAAAAGACCCAGAGGCAGTGATGGAGCCAGCCATGTGGCCGAGGGAAGAGCATGCTGGATAGAAGGGACAGCCAGTGCAAAGGCCCTGAGTCAGGAGTGTTGCAGGTGTGTCCGAAGTGCAATGGGAGGCCAGTTTAGATAGCTGCTTTTCTCCTGAGATTCAGGGAAATGGTCCTAGTGCTTAAAAAAAGACAGGAAGAAAAAAGCTTCCAAACCATTACTAAGGTACAATTCTGAAATTGGATGCCCTGTATTAACTGATCCATTGCTCTGACCCAGAGATGCCACAGACAACAGCAAAGCCACCAGGGAAAAGTGCCTGCAGGAAGGTGGACAAGTAGTGTTCAGGGAGAAACCAGAGACCTTCTAACAGTTCCTGGTGGGGAACCCCATGAGAGCAGAGGTGGTGGGGCCAGATAACAACTTGGCTGACTGCAGGGGGCCCTGCCCCACATGCACTGGGGGCAGCCCAGGTGTTCATCCAGCTCCTGCCTGTTGCTCAGACCTCACTCCTCTTTCATAGGGTCATGAGTCATGCCCAAGTTTTATGAAAGCCAAAGAAAGGGTCACAGGGCTGTAAGACCCTTAAAGAGCTGTGTCCCAGCCCCAGGACGTGGTGTAGATTCAAAAACGAAGAAGCATGGAGAAGATCAGCTGAGATGATGGGTGCTGCTCAAGTTGAATGAGCTGTGCGGGAAGCCACCGAGGCCCTCTCAGGACAGGTCTTGTCCATGGAGAGTCCATCAGGGCTGATTCTGGAGAAGCAGTCAGCCAGGAAGGATGGAGAAATGGTCCATGAGAGCTTAGACAGATACAAATACGAACCCGCAAGAGTCGGCAGTCAGAAGGATGGGAGGGGGTCAGCGCACCTTTATCTCTGGACAAATCCAAAAAACCTTCCTAGAAACAGGGAAATTTTAAGCAGAGTAGAGAGATCAGAAGGGAAGGGAGGTAGAGAGCCCTGGGCTGGGGAAAGAGCAGGTGTGCCCAGCAGGCATCCCATAGGTAGCACGCAGGAGAAGGATGGCCCATCTGTGGGGAAGTATGTGGGTGACAGATCTCTGGGGAAGCCTGAGGAGATGGCAACCAGGAAGGAAGCAGAGTCAGATGGAGCCGTCACAGCTGCCTGGGTCTCCAGGGTTGGGGGAAGAATCTCTCTCAGTCTGGGGTGCCCGGATGGCTCAGTGGGTTTGGAGTCCAACTCTTGATTTCATCTCAGGTCGTGGTCTCAGGGTCATGAGATTGAGCCCCACAGAGGACTCCATGTTGACCAGAGTCTGCTTGGGATTCTCTCCTTCCTCTCCCTCTGTCCCTCTTCCTGCTTGCTCTCTCTCTCTTTCAAATAAATAAATCTTTAAAAAAAATTCTCTCTCACTCAATTAGCTCTTGAAGGCTTCCTGGACAAAGTGCCCTCTTGGGAACATTGTACATCTCAGGAGGGACGTGGGTTCTTCAGCGCACATTCCCAACACAGGGCGTGGCCTTCAAAAGATACGGGGGCAGGAGGGGACGGCACCAAAGTGGGTGATGGATGACAGCACCCGGGATAAGAGGGTGTGGAAAGAGATAATTGGAGTTACCTGGGAAGCCCCGGAAAGGACATTTTATGAGCTGCCTGCTGAGACAAAGGAGGAGAAATCACAGCCTCCCTCTGACTAGTTCACAAAGGCTTCCTGGAAGAGGTGGCCAGCCATTCAGGTACATTCCAGGCAAAGGTGTGCCCAGAGAGGAGGCTTGGGCGTAAGGAGAGGGGTGTGGGGAACCTATAGGGCCTAGTGGCAATAAATGAGGAGGAGGCCAGGAAAGAAAGGTCAGGCTCCCACCCAAGAGTTGGTCCCATGAGCAGAGGGGTGGGTAATGAGTAGAGCCAGGCATGGGGCTATGGGTTCCCTGTCTCCTTCTTCGGTAGGACTAGGCAGCAAAGGCCCAGTTCCTGTGCATCTACACAGATCCTCCAGGGCAGCTGCGTCAGACTGGCCTGGTCTGTGAGTTTCTAACCTGCCCTGCACAACCTGGGAACAGCCTCATGAAGGACTTAGCCTCCCTCTCCAGCCCAGCCCCTCCCATCCAATGCACCATGCGGACAGCCTTCCTGAGCAGCTACCACTAGCCCTGGGCGCGACCACCATTTGCCACCGATGTAAACATCACCCAGCTCCCATGAGCCCACTCTGTGCCAGGTTGGGGCCCTCACTTTTGCCCACTCAAGCCCTTGTTTCCCCAGGTTTCCTGAGTCCCCTAGCATCATCTTCCCCACCCTCAGTGCCCAAGCCCATGCCCAAGCCCGATTCGAGGTAGAGGTTTAGGAGGGTGTGTGTGTGTATGCGCACGTGTGTGCACGTGTGTGCACGTGTGTGTGTATTGGAGGCAAGGAGAACAAGTAACTCAGAAGCCTCTCTCTGGGATGAAGCCTCCACTCCCTCCTGCCCCCAAGGAGAAGCAGAATCAGATCCAGCTCCAGCCTCTTCAGCAAGCTGAAGGAGAGCAGAGGCTGATGGGAGCTGAGGAGAGGAGGTCTGTGGGCAAAGGGCGCACCCATCTTCTCTTCCCATGCTCACCCGGTCTCTTCCCCCTGCCATGTTCAAAGGGCCCAAATCCCTTTTGGTCCCCAGCACACAAGCACCGGGCCCACACAACAGGCTGTCAGGAGCTCACTGTCCAAGGCGCCAGGAGACATGCCTGGACCCAGGCCAACGGCACCCCCACTAAGGAGTGGGTGCTGGGAACCCAGCCCCCGCACTCCTAAGCCTACTCTCTCCACCCCCAGACTCCACCCCAAATTTTTATACTAGTGAAATCAGGTTAAAGGAAACATTAAAAGCAGTCTTAAAAGGGTAAAGAAGTCATAAATGTGCAGAGGATGTGAAGACCACGGGTGGGGCAGGGAGTACACCCACTCCCTGCTAGGAGAGCGCTGTAAGGTGTGGTAGAGGCGTTTCTAATCAGAAACAAGAATCCCTTTCCTTTATACAGAGTGTTCTGGTCCCCAAAGCACAGCTTGTGTATTACCCACATAATCCTCTCAATAATCCGGGAAGGCAAGGATGAATTCCACACCACAGGCAAGCACACAAAAGCTCAGAGAGGCAAGAGCGTTCCCCAGAGTCACACAGCCAGGAAGCATCGGAGCGGGCCCACGGACCAGGTCTTCTGACTTTGATTCCATTGCCCAGCTTGACTGTGATCTGAAGATCCTTCGAGGCCAGCTGGTGAGGCTGCCTGCTTCTCCTCACCAGCCGCCCAAAGTCTCCCTGCTCCCCTGCCTTGGAAGAACACATGTGGAGTGTGGAGACAGAAACCAACCAGCCTGCTTCTGGGTGAAGAGCTGCAGGGGGCCCAGCCACGGAGAGGAGGGCAGAAGCAGGATAGAACATCAGGCGCGGGAGGAAGGATTCAGGCTGTGGCCCCACAGTGGCAGTGTTTGATTCTGGAAGGCTCCCCAGAGGGTCTGTCCCCCTCGGAGGATGCTCCTCTGCTCTTCTTCCCTTCTCGAAGTTCCTAACACCTTGGGTGTCTGGTTAGCCTCCCTGGAGGCAGAGACCACATCTCCCAGCTTTGTGCTCAATGACCATTAAAAGAATAGCAATCATTATCCTAATAAGTAGCTCCAGGACACACGGGGAAGCAGGGACATTCTGAGGAGCCAAACCCCCAGAACCCCCGGGAGCCAGAAATCACAGCATCCTCAGACAAGAAAAAGCCACTTTCCCACCCCCGTCTCTAAATGTTCCTCTAGTGGAGACAGTTTGGGGGCCGGAGATATGCCCCTCCTCTGGCTGGTTGTCTTGGAAGGAAGAGAGACAAACAGAACCTATTTCTTCTTTAAGAGCAGAGGGAAAGTGCCCAGAGCAAGTTCACAGCAGCTAGGTTATCCCAGGATTCAGTTCTTCCATCCTTGCAGCCCAGTGGGAGAAAGTGGTTAAAGGGGGAGGCTTCCCATTATCCTCAAGTAGCCATTATTGTGGCCACTGAGAGTGGAGTGGTTTGCAATTTTGCTGGGTGAGAAATGAAAGCTCCAAAACAGAGCCTCTGGGCTGGAATCCAGAAGGTTCTAAGATCCCATGTGCTCCAGCCCTCTGTCCTGCCGGGAGCATGGTCAGAATGGTCCCACGGACCGGAACCACCTTCCAGGCCACGGTGCCTGGCTGGATCTGGACTTGCCTGATCCATCAGCCTCTGAAATATGATAACTTACTTGAGAATATCTCTTGCACGAAGCCAGGAGGACAGAGGTAATGCACTCTCGGGGTCTTGCCCAACCCGGGACCCCAGAGCTTCCCCCGCGAGACAGTGGCCCAGCCTCTACCGCGACCCCAGCCAGCTCAGACTGTTGCGGAGTTCAAATCCATCTCTGGCTGTGGGTTGGGGCCATCCTACAGGGAGACTGCGAGAAAATTAATTGCTTAATGTATGTAAACGAGCTTTGAAGATGAAAAGTGCAAACACAGTGTCCCTAATAATATCTTCAATACCTTTACGGAGGCCCCGAGTCGCCGCTGAGCTCACCTTTAAGACGAGTCTTTGGGGAGTTGCTGGCAAACTCCCCAAGCCAATAAACAACATAAAATGGCTTTTCACTCCTTTTATGCGGCCAACCCCAGCTCTCCTCACCCTTAAAAGGACCAGGGAGGATCAGAGAGGCCAGAGGATCCTAAGCAGCGCACCTGAAGCCTTCACTTACTCCTGCCGCACTCAGCCTCTGCTCAGACCCGCACGATGTCCTGCCGCTCCTACAGGATCAGCTCAGGCTGTGGGGTCACCAGGACCTTCAGCTCCTGCTCAGCTGTGGCCCCCAAAACTGGCAACCGCTGCTGCATCAGTGCCGCTCCCTACCGAGGGGTGTCCTGCTACCGGGGGCTGACGGGCTTCGGCAGCCGCAGCCTCTCCAACCTGGGCTCCTGCGGACCTCGCATGGCCATGGGCGGCTTCCGCGCCGGCTCCTGCGGCCGCAGCTTTGGCTACCGCTCCGGCGGCATGTGCGGGCCCAGCCCGCCCTGCATCACCACCGTGTCCGTCAACGAGAGCCTCCTCACGCCCCTCAACCTGGAGATCGACCCCAATGCGCAGTGCGTGAAGCATGAGGAGAAGGAGCAGATCAAGTGTTTGAACAACAGGTTCGCTGCCTTCATCGACAAGGTCAGTGAGGCCTGGGATGGTCCGGAGAAGGCCCCGGCCAGCCTTCCCCTCAGGAAGGTCCCGGTGTGTTGGGGAGACAGCATGGAGCCAGGCCTGAGACAGCACAGGGAGAGAAACACAGGCTAACATAGGCAGAGGATCCGTTTCCATCTTTTAATTCCAGCAAAGTGCACAGAGGGCCCCGTATGGTCCAGAAATGGAGTCTGTGGTCTAAAGGGTGTGTGTGCTTCTGGAGACAACACAGGAATATCAGAGGTGCCCCTGGAAAACTGGATTGGGCACTGGGAGCTACAAGAGTGGGCCATAATGGGAAGAGTAAAAGGCTCGTGGCTCCCAGCCAGGCAGCTTGGGGAAGTGGGTGGGCACGGCTCAGAGCCACGCTGCCTCCCTATCATTGTTCTGCCCCTGGGCAGCGTGAGACCTTGGGCATGTCACTTGTCTGGATAACAGAACCCGCCTCATATATGCGTCGCAAACATGGATGGATTCATGCTTGAAAAATGCTGGCACACAGTAAATGCTCAATGAATGTTCACTGTCAGCATGATTCTCCCAGGGCAATAGTGTGACAGGAGGTGTGACAGTAAACAACCCATGGCCAGCACAGCCGCCTTCATGGACGGAGGGCTGGGAATGGGGAAGGGGGAGGCCAGGCTGGGGGTAGAAACCCAGGGATGGAGACCCCCACACACACGGTGGGTCTGCCTCCCAGGCCCCCAGTACCCTCCCTGCATGTCCACGAGGCCTCGCTCTGGCAGAATAGATAGATCTGGCCTCTGGGCTTGGGTTCAGGAGTTTTGTTACCATTTTCTTGTTAGTGAGTTTGGTTCATCCTCAAAATGACCCAATGGGGGAGACATTAGTATTTCCATTTTTTTACTATCAAATTGAAGCTGAGTTTAGATGAGCTGCTTAGACGTACCGCCGTGGGCAGGCGAAGGGGACTCAGGGGACATCAGATCCCAAATCTCACCAACTATTTGTGTGACAATGAACAAGTCATCTCAGTTTCCCCCTCTGTGCTATGAGGGAAATGATACCGTCCCCCACCGGAGGGTTAAGAGAATGGACTGGGACTGATACGTGGGCAGAGACAAAGGGATAAAAATAGAGATACACAGTTCACCCTTGAACAACACGGGTTGGAGATGAGCAAATCCACATCTACAAGGACTTTTTTCAATATATACAGTACTATAAATGTATTTTCTCTTCCTTATGATTTTCTTAATAACATATTTTCTCTAACTTACTTTGTTGTACAAATACAATACTCAATGCCTAGAACATACAAAATGTATGCTACTCGACTGTTTAGGTTATCAACGAGGCTTCCAGTCAAGGGTAGGCTATTAGCAATTAAGTTTTGGAGGAGTCAAAAGTTATATGGCGATTTTCAAATGCGTGGGTTAGGGGTGGGGGAGGGGGGAGGCGTCAGTGCTCCTCACCCCCGCATTTTTCAAGAGTCAGCTGTAGAAATAGATAGATGTGTGTGTATCTTAGCACGGGCCCTCATAGCACACAGTAAGGTTTCAGTAAGTGTCCCGTGGATTAAAAAATGAGGAACTGCTAATTATTGTCATAGTTAAATTTGTCAAGCATTGACCATGTGTCGGAGATGTCCTAAGCATTTTCCATGTATTAACTTGTGCAATCTTTACAACTCTAAGGGAGGCACTATTTTCATCTCTGGTTCAGAAATGAGCACCCAAAGGTTAGACAGCTTACCTGCTCCAAGTGGCAGAACTGGACTTGAACCCAGACCTCTGGACTTAAGCCCAGGGCGCTTTCCCCCACAGCCACACTGCCTCCTAGAGGACTGGCAGCAAGGTCCCTTGCAGCACAGACACTCTCAGCCCCATGCTCCTGCCTTGGTGGGCCCAGCTCCTCGGTGAGCGCCCAGGACAGAGAGGGATCTGGAGGAAAGGCTCCTCCCGGGTTCCCTGCCCCCCCCCCCCGCCCAGTCTCACCCTCCCACCCTGAACGCAGGTGCGCTTCCTGGAGCAGCAGAACAAGCTGCTGGAGACCAAGTGGCAGTTCTACCAGAACCAGCGTTGCTGCGAGAGCAACATGGAGCCCCTGTTCAATGGCTACATCGAGACTCTGAGGCGGGAGGCTGAGTGCGTGGAGGCTGACAGCGGGAGGCTGGCGTCGGAGCTCAACCACGTGCAGGAGGTGCTGGAGGGCTACAAGAAGAAGTGAGTGTGGCCAGACGCAGGGCACACAGGGATCATGGGAAAGCTCCGCCCTCAACCTTCTTAAAGCAGCTGAAGTTTCCTGCCTGTCTAGGAGCAGGGGCTGCCTGGAACCCAGCGGCTACCTGGGGCTGGGCCTAGATGTCTTAGATTCTTTGGCCCCACTCTCCCTCTTGGAGGCCCTGTGGGTCTTAGAGTTGCTTTCGCGGGGAATGAGGAAAGGCAACCCAGTGGAGTTCCAGAGCACTCTGTGGTCCTACCCGTCCATCTCAGCTCACTTTATGATGCTCACTCTGTGTTTTTGCCACCGAGGGCACTGGCTCTTTTTGGATCTGGGATGCACAGAGGACTTTTGATTTGGGGAACAGAGCGTGCATTCCCTGATCTCATTCCAGAGGCAGCGGGACCAGGGTGGCCTAAGCCAGGCTGAGGCAAGGGCTAGGCCAAGAATAATGCACAGACTAGACCACAGAGAGGACAAGATAAGAATCGTAGGGACTCCATTCCTTTGGACCCCTGGGAAGGCTGGCTCAAAAGCTGGGATGATGTCCAAGCCCCCACCTCTCAGCTGCAACCTCTCTCTCCCCGCAACCCAGGTATGAAGAGGAAGTGGCTCTGAGAGCCACGGCAGAGAATGAGTTCGTGGTTCTAAAGAAGGTGAGGGGGCTGCTCATGGGGCAGGAAGGGAAGGGTACCCACCCAGACAGCCTCCAGTGGGGGCCATCACCACGTGGACCACAGAGGCCTCCTCCCACCCCACACGCTCTCCTCTTCCCTCCACTGTCAGGACGTGGACTGCGCCTACCTACGGAAATCCGACCTGGAGGCCAATGTGGAGGCACTGGTGGAGGAGTCTAGCTTCCTGAAGCGTCTCTATGACGAGGTGAGGGGCTGCCCCTGGCCAACCAGGGCAGGGAGAGGGGAGGCGTGAGGACCTGAGCAAGAGGGGAGGGACTGTGTTGTGTGTACATGTTTGCCCGTGTGTGCAGTGTGTGCATGTTTTCTCATATTGCACGACTGTGTTAGACACAAGAGGGTCAGTTGCACAACTGTGATAGACAAACATAGGTAGGTGCCCAGGGAGAGCCTGGCGTGCTTGTTCGAGGACCGTGGAGCGTGGCTGTGGTTCTCCATGTCCATGAGTGCCTGTGTATGTTGCAGTGTGTGTGTGGCTGGTCTGGGGATGTGTCAGTCTGTACCTGGGTCAAAGGTTGGGGCCAGGGTGAGTCTCTGGTTAGAGAGGGGTCTTAATTAATGGACACATCACTAGTCCTGGCATTCAAACCCCAGCTCCACTGCTAGGTGACTTGGAGAAAACCTAGCATGAGGTTGAGTCTTCCCATTTGTTCATTCAGAGACCCCTTCTGGCTTTCTTATTTTATGATGTACCTATGTGTGAGCGAAGGGGGAAATGGAGCAGGTGGAGCAGGGGTCATGTGACATGATAACCAGCGCCCATCCAGGGAGGGGATACTGCCTCTAAAGGTGGAGCCCATGGCCCAGACCAGGCACCAGACCCAAATGCATTGGCTCTTGGCCCCCAGGAGCTCCAGGTGCTCCACGCCCACATCTCAGACACCTCGGTCATCGTCAAGATGGACAACAGCCGGGACCTGAACATGGACTGCGTTGTGGCTGAGATCAAGGCTCAATACGATGACATCGCCAGCCGCAGCCGGGCTGAGGCTGAGTCCTGGTACCGCAGCAAGGTGAGGGGTGTAGGACACCTGCCTCTTAGACATGGCAGTTGGAGGGAAGCCAGGTGTATATTAAAGAAGGCCTCTTTTGTCTGGGGATTTTGATTAGTAGGGATGGAAAGAGGACAGACAGCTCTCAGTCTGGGTGGTAGAGCAGGGCTGCCATGTATAGTTGCACAGGCTGAGCACTGTACAACCTGCAAATCCTCTGTGATGTCCAAATGGGTGGGAAACTGCATCTTGAGCCTCAGAAACATCTCTGCTCCCTGCCCCCACAAAGTGTGAGGAGATGAAGGCCACAGTGATCCGGCATGGGGAGACCCTGCGCCGCACCAAGGAGGAGATCAACGAGCTCAACCGCATGATCCAGAGGCTGACTGCTGAGATCGAGAATGCCAAGTGCCAGGTAGGGTACGGGGAGGGGTTTGAATGCCCAGCACAAGCAGACTCTTTGCCCCCAGGAGGGCAAAGGCCTGGCCCCCATCGGGCTTCACAGTGTGCCTGTGAGGAAGCAGGGACCCAAACAACTCACACAGCCCTTGAAGTAGGATGTACCATAGCACCAATGTCACTCCTGGGCCACCCTATGACAACCACCAAGGAGAGACAGTGAAAGCCCCCATCTCCTCCCTCATCTTCAAGGTCTCATTAAATACCTGGTCCTACATAGTTAACCTAACTTCTCCCTGGAGCCCTCTCTCCCTGGCCCAGCTCCATGAGCTCAGATGAGCCAAGCTGCACCTTCTTTCTCTCATCCTTGCTCTCACATCCCCTTCCTCATAGCGGGCCAAGCTGGAGGCTGCCGTGGCTGAAGCAGAACAGCAGGGCGAGGCAGCCCTGACCGATGCCCGCTGCAAGCTTGCGGAGCTGGAGGCCGCCCTGCAGAAGGCCAAGCAGGACATGGCCTGCCTGCTCAAGGAGTACCAGGAGGTGATGAATTCCAAGCTGGGCCTGGACATCGAGATCGCCACCTACAGGCGGCTGCTGGAGGGCGAGGAGCACAGGTGGGGCTAAGGAGCATCTCCCTTTGTGTAGAAGGAGGCCCTGGTCCTCTGGGACTGTGTTTCCCTGAGCCCCAGTGTGAGCTAAGTCTCTAAGCACGGCTAGTGCAGGTTAAGCTTCAATAATAGTCATAATTTATCAAATACTTACAGGTTTGACCTGCACTGAGCACTCATTTTAATCCTCACAATCCAATGAGGTCGGGTCTCATTTTTCACAACCAAAGATGAGGAAGTAAGGCTCGGCTTACAGTGACTTTCTCGTGGCCTCAGTTAATAAGTGCAAGAGGCACAACGTGTCCCCCAGTACTTTCTTCTGGTACCTCCTCCCCACCCCCCACTCCCTAACCCCAGGAGGCTGCAGCTTGACCTGCCACACCAGATCCCTTGTGCCCTGTGAGGACGGTGTGCCCCATATATGCCAGCCCCTCCACACTCTCGTTTCTCTGAGCCCGACCAGCGAGACCTAGGCCACGGGGTCACTCAGATGGGCAGGAGCTCAGCCATGCGTGCCACCTCTGCTTAAAGTCAGAAGGCTTTCTCTGGTCAGAGAATGGTTAGAGAAAGGCGACCATGTAACCCAGACTTTGGGGCATACCCCTCCCACCTTTTGGGGGGAGGAGCTATACACAGAAGGGCCCTCTCTGTCGCCAAGCAACAACCTGCTTCGGGGATCTGGCTGGGTTGTCCAGAGCTAACAGAGCTTTCTTTTCCCACAGGCTGTGTGAAGGTGTGGGCTCCGTGAATGTCTGTAAGTGTCTGCTTAAACAACGGCCTCTCCCCCTAAAAAATGGCTTTGTTGGTGGGTAAAGCTGAACCTGGAATGCTTCCGAACAGAAGGCCTTTCCTCCTCCCCTGGCTCCTCACTGGAAAACACCATCGGGTTTAGGGATGGTGGTGTTGAGCGCCCTCCACTGGTGGTGATGGGAACTGCAGACTTTGCTCTGCCCCCTCTGGGGGAGGGTCTTCACTTCCTTCCTATCTTTGTCCCCTGGAAGGACTGAGATGCTGGGAGGAACAGGGCCTGAATTCTTAATCACTAAACCCCTTTCAGGAGGAGGAAGCTTCTGCTAGTCAAAAGCCCCTTGGGGATTATCACAAGGTTGGGGAGATCAGGGCAGGCCACCTACCCACTTTGTCCCCTCTCTCCCCCTACAGGTGTCAGCAGCTCCCGCGGGGGAGTCGCCTGTGGGGGCCTCACATGCAGCACGACTCCTGGGCGCCAGATTGCCTCTGGCCCTGTAGCCACCGGTGGCAGCATCACGGTGATGGCGCCTGACTCTTGTGCCCCCTGCCAGCCCCGCTCGTCCAGCTTCAGCTGCGGGAGCAGCAGGTCCGTCCGCTTTGCCTAGAGTCCCAGGCCACCTGTGTCCCCGTCCCCAGAGCACGGAATGGTGTGTGAATGGAAATCGTGTGCTTGCTTCCGGAATCTTCCACGTGTTCCTACAGAGGGAAAGACCCTCGGCCACGCTCTGGCACCTTCTCATTCTAGGGAGTTGTTTCCTGGTTCTCCTCTGGGCTTCAGTTAGAGAGGCATTCCCAGTCCTTCACCTAACTCCGGTTTGACTCCAAAAGACCGTGGCCAGTTTGTATCATTCTCCAAGCTGTCTGGAACACTACCGGTCACCCAGGGTGGCTGGACATCATGGGAGCTTGGCCTTCCCGGGAGACAAGGAGTGAGCCTAACTCCCCGCCAGGTCTCCTACAGGCTGAGAGTCTGAGAGGAAATCCTCCCTCCCAGCAGCAGTCCTCCCTCTCTCCTGGCTGGGAGTTCTGCAGGAAGCATTGGCCCAGGGTTATTCTTGTTTGTGTTTTGCTTGTCTCTCTAACTGACTGCCTTCTTTGGGTTAACCTGTCCCAGCCAAACTCCTCATGTGAACTCCCAGTTGAGGGGCTCATTACGGAGGGGAATCCTTTTGACTTGGCACAGGTCTTGCTATTCATTGCACCTTTATACATTTCAAAGAAAACTCCAAGGTTGCTCCAGACCTCCCCCTGCGGGTGCAGGTGGGGTGTGTCCAATGTGAGCCAGTGGGATGGAGAAGGTTAGGCCACTTCCTGAGTCTCCCTCTTGTTACGACTGTCTGTGGGTGCCTTGCCTTCTGGGTTGTCTCAGTCTGTGTTTCAATAAATGCTGCTTTGATGCAAGGATATGTGGTCTTGTGAATGACAATGTCTCTGCCCCTTCCCATTGCCTTATGTACAACCCTCAGCCCCATCCCCAGCTGGCAACACTTAACCAGATCCAGGCGGTGTTTCCCTAATCCTCCAGTGATTGTACCTCTTCTTGTCCGCTTTATCGCCTGATTCCAGCTCAGCTCTCCTCAGTCCAGTCTGGCCTGGACCACAGCTCCAGCCCCCCCAATGACCTTTTATTCCCTACCTCCATGCACCCCAAGCAGCCTAAAATCCCACCCCCAGATCACTCTCAGCCCCTACGACCTAGTTCAAACCAGTTTCCAGCATGTGCCTGTGTTCCTGATGCCAGTCACCAGCCTCCCTCCATCTCCTCCTTCCCCACCAGCTCCTCAGCCCTGTGCAACCACCCTCTATCCAGTGCCGATCTTCCCAGATGCAGACTCCACCCCATGGAGAGAAGCCCACCCTCTAAGCCCCAGGACCATCCCACAGGGACACATAAGCCATCCCACATCTCTCCTCCATTTGCCCTTACCCAGTGCTCTCTCGGTTCTTCCTACCTACACTCCTTCCCACATGCACAGTCCCCCAACCCCTGCCCCACCCTGTCTCCAACCCTGAGGATCTCAGGTTCTAACTTTGTGGCTCAGGGCTCAGGATGTGGCTGGGTGTGTATGGAGCCTGGATCAAGCTAGAAATTCCTTGGGAGCAGAGGTATCTCCTCCTGGCTCTGAACACCTCCCCGCCCCCCCCCCCCACACACACCTCACACCCAGGATGGAGCTGTAGGACATGTCAGGCCTGGGATGGTTGGATGAACTCAGGCAGCTGTAGAACAGGAGGAGTAGATATCAGCCCTGTTGGACTCCCCTCCTTTTCTCCACTGGGAAAACAGACCTGCTGTCACCATTCTAGGTGGACATCCACCTGCCAGCCCCCTCTGCTGCCCCATCCCCCAGCCTTTCCCTGAGAAGAGAAGTGAAGGCTCTGTGCGTTCTGATGAATCCTTGCTTTAGACCCAAAGGGTTGCAGCTCCAATGGAGGGGGTGGGGGTTGGGCTGCCGCTGGCCTCTTCTGGGAACTCCAGCTGCTGCTGTTTGAGCTTTGCTGGCTGCCAGTAGGCAGGTCTGCTCTAAATTTCCCACCCACCTCCCTCCTTTCACTCACCTCTCTGCGCCTCAAGGGTATGGTCTTAATTGCAATAGGACAAAGTTTATACATTTTTATTTATTTTATTTTATTTTTATTTTTTATTTGACAAAGAGAGAGATCACAAGTAGGCAGAGAGGCAGGCTGGGGGTGGGGGGGAAACAGGCTCCCTGCTGAGCAGAGAGCCCAATGTAGGGCTGATCCCAGGACCTTGAGATCATGACCTGAGCCAAAGGCAGTGGCTTAACCCCACTGAGCCACCCAGGTGCCCCCAAAGTTTAATTTAGGACACATCATTCGTCCACAGGAAAGGTTAAAAGTCAGGGACTGAAAATCAAAACCTGAGCATGAGCTCTGCCATGTCTCAGTAAGTCATGGGGCAGGAAGTGGCCTTCACACTTTTTACATCAACCTGGGGATCTGTGAGCTGAGCGTTCCTCAGCTCTGCTACCTCCCGTGGTTCTGGGTTGCTGGAGTGAGTCTGTGGGGGAAACACCTAGATGTTGCCATGGGTCTGGGCCACGCACAACTAAGACGCCAAATCTGGTATCCCCAAAATAGGACATGATGGACTGAAAAGTCAAAGAGCCACAAGCTGGGAGATAATAATAAGTTTTTAATGAGTTTCCATGCTTTGTGCACAAAGACCAGTCAACGGACTGGGCCAAGCAGAGGTGTCATAAGGATGAGATCTCCCCTCCTCCGTCCTCCCTGCTGCCAACAGGGGAAATGCAGCGTAATCTCCTCCAGTTCAAAGGATCCTGGGGCTCCAGGGCCCTCTCCTGATGCAAGAACTACTCTCCACACAAAGCAAAAGATATAATCCAAGGACAATGGAGGATTAAAGTTTAATTAGAACAAAAATTTTAAGGAGAAGTCACGTGGTCTGAAATCAAGAGATCAGGTAAATTCTAGAGCAAGTGACCCAAACAATAAAGTTGGCCCATGTGGGTGATTCCAGAGTTCTTTCCTGGGCTCCTTTTCTCTCGAAACTCCACATGCCAAATAAGACCTCCATCAGAGAAAAATCAGACCTTCTGTTTGTATTCTACCCTTATTCAAATATTCACTCCCCCCAAAATACAAGGGTCTCCAAAGGATGTGGGAAGTATGGATTATAGTCCTTTTTTAAAAAATCAGGTCAGGCTAGGCGTTGGCATCTTCTCTTTCTTCTCTGAGGCCACAAGCTCCCCTTCACCGAGTCTCAAATACCTTCCGTCTGGACCATCCTCATAAACACCCACTCCCAGCCCAGCCCCTTCAACCCGCCCAGTGTCGCCAACATCCCTGCTTCAGTCTTTGGGATCCCAGGAAACGCGGATGGGTACCATTACTCACCTGAACCAAGCACAGTGAGAAGTGTAAACTAACCACATGAGCAAGGAAATCACAAAGCATATTGCTCTTTGGAATAGACAAAGACACTAGAAATGGCAATCGGGGATTACCCCATCTGCATATGCAAGCCACTGACACTCTCTGGGAACATGACTATTAAGAACAGGTTGCATTGAGAGTTTTGTTCATTGAAAGGTAGAGCAGTGAGGACACATGAACAAGGTGGTGCTCTCTTAGGTGAGGGGGACTTGCACTGGGGAGTGGCTGAGTTCTCAAATGCCTCACACCACTCACCTGCCCCTCCCCTGACTGTTACCAGATGCCCTTTGTGCCCCTTGGAAATCCCTGCCCACTTCCACTTTGTTCAAAAACAAAAGGTTCTCCAAAGTGCCCACTCTTATTCTCTTGGTGCTATTGGACAGGAGTGGTGGGAGGTGAGTAGCCAAGGAATGAGTGAGGTGAAGGTAGTGCACAGACGATGAGATTTTTTGAGAGAGAGAGAGAAATAGCAAATGGCAGGGGGCAGGGAGGGGCAGAGGGAGAGAAAGAATATCAAGCAGGCTCCACGCTCAGCATGGAGCCCAACACGGGCCTTGATCTCATGACCCTGAGATCCTAACCTGAACTGAAATCAAGAGTTGGATGTTCAATGGACTAAGTGCCCCAAAGATGAGCTTTTGCATTAAAAATGAAGAAAACACCAGAGACACAAAAATATGTCTCCACACCCTCCAACACCACCATCAGAAAGGAAGGGCAGACCCTCCTTCATTTCATCCGCTGTTCTGCCGTAGGGCAGCAGGTGCCCAGTAGGTCTCCCTTCCCTCCTCAGAGCAGATCCAATGGCCCTTCGACTTGGTTTTACCTCCACTCAAACTCGGTGGGATCCTGACTGTGGTGTGCCCAGCATGCAACTCCTGTGGGACCCTCCAAGGCCAGGAGGCAGAGACTAGGGGAGTAATATACTAAGAAAGATCTTGGTCCTCTCAGGGTCACAGGGGAATAATATCCCCACTGCAGACACATTCTGAAAGCATCAGAAGGACTGCATTGCCCGAAGAACTGCTCATAGCTTTTCTTATGCCTTGAGATCAAATATGCATTCTCATGACAAAATAGCTTCCACCCATTTAGGTTGTTTTTGAATCTTTTTTTTTAATCCAAAAAAAAATTAGTAAATAAAGTGGAAGAAGTGGAGTTCTTCCCATAAATCAAATGAAAGAAACTTGTCCATCAGAAACCCCTCTCTCCACCTCAGCAGGGAGACACCCCTTGCCTCAGAGGGGACTCCAAACAGATTTCTCCAGGTGGGACTTCTTGGGGAATATCAGTTCAGGAATAGGGCAGAGGCAGAGTTCCCCAATCAATTGCCCGGTCCAGGCCATCAGGGAAAATGTCCTCCAACTAGAAGTCTGGGTTTTACTTCTGCGATAATGCATAATTGGCCTATATTAACTGTCCCATAAGAAGATCTGTCCAAGATTCTTAGAGAGCTGAGACTATGGGAGTTGTTTCTACAATAGTTCGAGAAGGTCCCTTTGTGTCATCTTCCGTGTCTTATTCTGAAGTGTCTGACTAGCAAGCAGGGTCAGTTAGAACCCCTCCTCCAGAGACAGTCCGATGAGCCAGGATGTTTAGTCTGAAGGAACAATTGGGGTAAGACAGTGGAAAGTATGTGAACTTTGGCATTCCCTAAACCTCAGTTGGAATGCTGGATTAGCTGTGTGACCTCAGTAAAGGTACTTAACTTCTTTGGGCCTGGACTTCCTTATCTATAAAATGAAGATAATAATGTCACTGCTGTGAACAAAGAATGAAATACACACACAGAGTCCCTGACACTTAGCAGGTACTTGTGAATACAGATTCCTGTCCCTTACCCTCTTCCACCTTCGCCTCCACCCCACCCAGGTGTGGGGGGCCCAGACTGGCTCTGACCTTTTGGCAAAGTCAAAAGAGAAATGCAAAGAGATGAACCTGATCCTGTGAGAGTCAGAGAGGAAGTCAGTTCCACGGTCAGAATTACCTGACCCTCCTATTCCCCCTGCCCACATAAGCCAATGGTTCTCAGCTTTAGTTCCTCTAGGAATCACATGGGAGCTTGTTTAAACTCAGATTCCTGGGCTCATCCCTGGAACTTCTGCTTCAGTAGTTCTGGATGGAGTCCAGGATCTACCTATTTAAGAAGTCCCCTCCACCTCCCATCCCTAGGGACCCTGATTTGGTGGTGATCCATGGAACTACACTTGCAGAAGCTTTGAGACGGTCAGGGCTTGGGGAAGGGTGGGGGGTGGGGGCTGGGGAAAACCACAGAGGAGGCAGGCATTCATTTGTTTACTAGAGAAAACTTTTGTCATCAATATTTAATCACACACACCCAAAGAGAAAAGGAGCCATAACAGGAATCATCCAAATACAAAATACAAAACAAAAACAAAAACAAAACAAAACAAAACCCAACCACCACCATAAGCACCTCAGCCATTAGCTTCAGTCAGCCTTTCCATCTGGACATATGAAGAG